GTTGGATAGCATCAGTATATATAGTCCATCAGCTGGATAGCACCAGTAATCCATCAGGGCTGGATAGCCCCAGTAATGCATCAGGCTGGATAGATAATGTCAGTCATCCAATCATCCATGCACCTGGCTTAGGCAAGCTACTGTGGACTCCACCTGGCAACCTCTTTGGGCAGAGATTGCCAACTCCCTGACCATCCTTGCAAATGGTGGAGATGGCCATAGCAGGTTTGTCAGAAGAGGGGTGGTTTGGGTGATTTGTGGCGACTTGGAATTCTTTTGCCAAGAATTCCAATTTCCGACAGCGATGTCAAATTACCCATGCAAATACTGCTGCGCTACAAATTTCTTTGGCAAGAATGAAGTGCCTTTTACTGATTTCAGGTTTCCTGGCATCGCTCAATTACTTTTTCTTTTGTTTGGTTGAGCTCCTGTAGTGTGGTGCCAATTTGATCCAGGAATTTGTGTGTTCCTTGATCCACAATCTTAGGAGCGCAGCTGCTTGGAGAAGCACAAAGCTGGAGGCTGTGGAGGACATAGTGGACCACCCCCTCATGGATGTTCCAGCAATCAGCTTCTGGACTATAAAGCTTGATTGGCTGCACCTTGTGGACTTGGGCTGTGCAAGCCAGCTCTTTGGGAATGTTGTGTGGGACCTGATTGAAGACCACCTTGAAGGGCCATCAAGGGCTGCAAAGCTCCTGGAGTTGAACCACATGATCTGCAAGGCCTACCAGGAGAACAACATCCCTGCCTCCAAAAGACTGGGGAGGCTCAGCCTGTCTGATGTCTGCAATGGTGGTGATGACTACCCCAGCTTGAGGCACCAGAAGGGAAGGAGAGTGAGATACTTTTCGTTGGTAGCTTGCCACCTGGCTGCAGAGTTTGCAGTGGGTGACTTTGGCAAGCATCGCCTCAAGGCTGTGGAAGCCATGAATGACATGTACTGTTTGGCTGACAGAAAGGAGCATGTGTGGTCTGCAGACACATACAATCAGTTCAAGCAGGCCACACACAAAATGCTCTTGCACTATGGCTGGCTAGCCAAAAAGTCCATGGAGAAGAAGCTGTGCAAATACAGCATCACCCAAAAGCACCACAAGCTGGCTTGCAGGTACATAGACCAGTGCCTATACATGGCACCAAGGTCTACTTGGTGTTACGGTCCTGAGAGTTACATGAGCATGTGCATCAGGATCGCTGCAGCCTCTGTAAAGGGAACAGGTGGCACAAAGCTGCCTGGAAAGGTGCTGCAGAAATTTGCACTCTGCTTCCACTTGCTCTTGAGTGGCCAACTCAACCTCAAAGAGGATGATGCTGACTAGCTGGAAAGCTTGAAGTTGTGAAAAACATGCAACCAGGGCTGGATAGTCCTAGTGCTTTGAATTTGACCTGTGATCTTGCAGGGCTGGATAGCCCCAGTGCTTTGGTCATCTCATAGGCTGGAAAGCCCCAGTGATTTGAAGTTGATCTGTGTTGTTGCAGGGCTGGATAGCCCCAGCTGCCATAAGTCACACACAATCACACACATACATGGATGTTGGTACATGCATGTGTAAATCATGTACACACATGCGCAAAACAACATACATGTCAAAAGACCATCAAACAAACAAAATGCGATTGAATTTTCAAACATTTTGCGATTGAATTTTGAAAAATATGCGATTGAATTTTGAAAGTGCAAAAAGACCATTTTGCGATTGAATTATTTTTTCGAGCAGAAAATGAAAAATCAATAGAAACGATTGAATTTTGACAAATTTCAATCTGCACTTGAAAAACACACTCACGATTGAAAAAATTCAATCTTGGAGCCTTTGGGGAGTTCTGGGCATGACAGTGGTTGGTTGTCAGTTGTGTCTGCTTGGTTCCTCAGTCGCTGAGAATGCCACGGCCACAGATCGCCGGATCCACAGATTTGACAGCAAAACCCCCAGGCTGATTGTGTTTCGGTCAAGATTGCTGTGTCTTGTTCCTCCTTGTTGTTGATGATTTGCTCCGAAAAAAGTCCCTGGACAGTCCACGATGCAGACCTACGGAGAGGGCCGTTATCGTAACTGCAGTTAAGCGTGAATTCACACGTGATGTTAAACAGAAGTTAGTTGAAGTTACGGTGGAGGCGTTTAAGTTCAGCATATCTTACTCCGTCGAATCTTGCGTTCGATTGATTTCAACGTTTCAGATGTCAGAAAACAGCGGACAAACTCACATCTTTTTCACTAATGCAGGCAAAGCACGTCTGATCCTAGGAAACACCACCAAGCAACAACTACAATTTCCATGTCTGGCCGCGGCTTCCACCACTTTCTTTCTCTTGATGGTTTCCATTGACTGCCCCATGGTCTGCTTTTCTTCCATCATCTCAAAGAGAAAGTGGAGGCCGCACGCAGGCCCTGACACCGCCATCAGGGCCAATTCTGCGTGGACATTGGCGCGACGGCGAGCGTCTTCTACAAATATACCCGTCAGAGCCGAGAGAGCTGCAACAAAAAAGGCCAAAAAAACAAGAAAAACTGTCAAAACGCCGCGGACAACTCGCGGACGTCGCCCAATACTTAGCAAGCTTTACGGTCAAATCTCGCGGACTTCTGGCGGACATCGGCGGGACCTAGAAAACCAACCTTCTTTGTCGCGATCTCAGAGCGCGCGCGGACGCACTTTCCTTTCGCCAAATCTGGTGTATATATGTCGTTTCAGAAGGTGAAAACTATGCTGTTGTCGCTCTCAATTCTGTGGCAAGCAACCGGCCTCCAATTCTTGCCACATTTGTTGCGGGAGAAACGAAGGAAATGCTTCGTATCCCTGCTGGGGACGACGAGTCTTCCCGCCCGCAGACGTGGCATCAGCATTTGCAGACATGCTATGTACGTGGGCTTTATATAGCTTGCTTGGACGAACGTTCTGAGCCAAAAATCTCACTGCAGCATGTGTCATTTGCAAGAAATTTTAGTTATCTTAAAAAACGTTGTTTTTTATGGGAGCCTAACTTCAACACAAGTTCACCTAACTTCCGTGTAACTTTGGCGAGCGTGCTAAGTGGAAGTTACGTTGAAGTCATCCGCATAGCGTGGAAGTTGCGGCGAAGGTATACGTTCAGCAACTTAAGTTAAACTTCAGTTTAACTTAAGTTATAACTTATAACGGCCCTCTCCGTACACTCTGAACACCAAACAACACCCGCCCACACGCCAATCCCAATGTCACAGCGACATTCACCTCACGATTCACTGCGCCTGCCACGAAAATTGCACTTCCATGCCTCAAAGCCCGCACAAAGTGCCGCGCCTGCCACGAAAAGAGAAAATAATATCATATATCATGTGAGCTTCAGCAAACTTTGCACCACACTCACCACACCACACGTTTGGAACGATTTCGACACGTTCTGAGCACACTCCAATAACCCAAAAACACCACTCTCCAAACGCCAATCCCAATGTGACTGCGCAGAAAACTCACCATCTCACAAAACGCTGCGCCTGCGCAGTGGTTTCATCCTCCACACACTTCATCCTATCACATTTCCACACGTTTCCTCGCTCTTTCACACGAATCTGACACGTCATGCTTCCATCCAAAACCCTCTGCAAAAGCTTCGCCCAATGTCAGCGCCATAGCGCTTCACCTGCGGACGGTTGCGAATGGTTTTGCGGACGGTTGCAAGCGCTCAGACAACGAGTCGCGAACAAGGCTCTAAGACCCCCACAGTCAAACGAGAACCCTTCGCTACGCACTCGGGAAAAGAGTCCTGTCGGAAACCGTAAATACGGTTTACATGTGTTTTGAAATTGCCGCCCTTAAAAAATTACCAACATGGCCGATTTTGGTGGAGTTTTAGGTTCCAAAAACAATCCTAACTGCCCACCTCTGTCCACCCTGTCTATCCACCATGACACGCCGCGTTTACACCAGCAGGCTTTCCTTCCCCCAATGGCACGGACTCACCTTTTCGAAAGTGTTGTTGCTAGTCTGATGAAGAATCACTATTTTAATACAGGTTGTTGATGGTTTTTGTAAGGGGAAAAGGAAGACCCTTCGATCTGGAGGTTCTTTCAACTTTTGATGCGAGCTTAAACTATACAAAGTTTATATAAAAATTTTCTGGGTGACTTTTTGGTTGATCAATGATTCAAGGATCCTCCCACTGACCCTATTTTGGACAAGCCTGATTTCAGGGACTCCCTACTATTAGTTTTTGTTAATAGGGGGGCCGTGCTGTGCTATTTTTTTTTAATAGGTGGAGGGGTTTAATCTTGAATGATTAATAGCATTCTAGTTCATGACTTCCAGCCGTCTTGTCCCCAAATTGGGAGACTTGGGCATGGTTTAATTCTCTACCTCAACAAACTTACAATTCACCGCTCATAATGTCAGATTATACTTCAATATCTTAATCTTCTGCAAAAGCCAATTGTCTGCCGCTCACAACAGGCCTTTCTGTGTACAAAAGGCCATAAAACATCATATGTTATAGGTCCTACAGTAGTTACAGGATGTTACAGGCAGCAGCTGGAAGCCTGTATCTGACGGCCATCCTGAAGAAGGCAATTCATCCTTGCTGTGTTTTTAACCGGTTGACATATATACCTATCGTGTTGATGACATATTCAGGTAGTGCAAGCAGTTTTGTATTGATCATCACTTGATCAAACATCTCCCAAATTTATGAAGTGTGTGGCCGTTTGCCCTCCCATGAAGAAAAAGCTTGGTCTGTGAATTGGGTCTCGTGCACCGTATGTGGATGTCCGTGTTAAACACACTGTGGGATTAGATGGTCCCCTCTAAAATTGGGTTCTTTCAAGCTTGGAGGGTTCAGCACCCAGCAACATTAGATAAATACGCAAACATATGGGTTATCTTAGAAGGACCCCAACTCAACCCCCTCAGGATAAAAAACACTCCCCTAAACAAAAGGTAACTCGGAGCATCTCGGTGATCCCCACCACCTCGGATTCCTCTCGCCCCTCCCGGCTCGCTCGACGGCGGAGCAGCCCAGTGGCTGCCAGCAAATTCAAGCGAAGCGAGCGAGAGTCCATGTCAGCCAGCCTGGCGTCGACCGACCGGCAGACCGACGTCAGCTTTGGTCAAGATGACACGCAGGGAATTCCACATCGAAACCGGCAGCTTTTCTGGAAATCCGATGTCGCCGAACAAGGTGATCTGTTTGGGCTCTGTGAATGTCACATCCCATCCCTGTCTTGACGCTGCGAAGAATAGACCACAGGTCCCAGGGATTCCCAAGGTTTTTTTTCTGCGGCAGGAAGGGTCCTGGATTCTTTAAGTACTTGATGGTAGTTGTCGTCATGATCAAGAAAAGCTGTGCTCCTTTCTTTGCATCTGAGGTGCAGTCGCCAGAGACCAAGTTTGATGGTTTTCAACACGTGAAACAGCACGGTGGGATTGGGATGATCGGTTCTGCTCACTACTTCTGCATTGCCAAATGGCCCACAGCTTTCAAGTCCTGTCCTGTGCTGCATGTTGCAGGACTTTAGTAATATATATAATATATATGTTATTTAATTGTATTTGAAATATTTGAAAATCAGTCTGTAACTCATGGAGGAACTCTAATCAGTCATCCTCATTCAAAAGACGGCCAACCTCTATCTTGGGCACAAACACGCAAGCTCGGCTTTAACATGTTTAACTGTAATCCTTTAACTGTAATCCAGGGCAAGTTGACTCCATGAAACATCCTGAAACCACTTGGGAATGCATTGGTTTTACCATTTTTTCACCCAGTCATGGGAATTCTTAAGTCGTGGCAGCCAGAGTTCCGGTGAAGTCTCTTCCGCCCAGAAGCAAACTCACGGCTGTCTGCCACTCGGAGTTGTGGATGGCCGAATTGTAGGAGATCCTCAAATCACCGCGAGAAACAACGAAGTGGATGGCCTGTAGGGCCACAATGCTTGTGACACCACTGGCACACCATGCTTGTGACATCAAAAGGTTGATCTATACCCATTATACCCATCCAATTTAGCAAATGAAAACAACATATACTCACCGAGCAAAACCGGAAGCACACGGCTCTACTCTTTTTCAGGGACATGTCGACTTGGTTGCAATGGTTTAGGGTTTAAGGGTGGTTTGATACATTTTGATACAAACATGCACCTTTTGAGGTTTAGTGTCCAGAGCTTGCCACATGAAAGAGAACAGCCACACGCGACACATCGAACCGAGAAACACGCTTCGTCCGCGGACCGTGGACCGCCCTGTTGCCGCAAGAGCTTGCCACCAATGGTCATGATCACCCCATCAACTCGTTTGAAAACAGCCAAAAACACACCTGTCTCAAGTGGGCAGACCTAGCTTAGCAAGCTCAGCTTGCATAGACAGCCGTGGTTTTTCACACAAATCGACCCCTGGTTCGATGCGGCCGGTGTGAGCGAACCAGCGAGTTCGCCGGGTCACGAACGGTCACTTTGAGGCCTCACTGGTTCGGTCGCGAACTGGTTTGCGTTTTTTTCTTCACAAACCATCGCAAACCTTCGCTTCTGGCGAGCATCTCATCTGGCGTCACAGTGAGGGCAAACATCTCCTCCTGATCCAGCTCTCTGCGAGAAAACTACGCGCGCTGCAGGCTGCAAAACGACAGGCTTCAAGTTGACTCAATAAAATAATTAAACAATTGGCATCTATCTATCTATACACTGCACTGCAATGTATAATATATAATATATATATATATTCAGTCCCAAAATACGGTAGATAGAAACGAGGTCCAATACATGATTGTTAATTGCATTTCCTTCATATCATTATATATCTCTTTGGGGGGGCTATTGTAGCTACATGAACTACTGAAGAAGACGTAGCTTATTCTGAGCCTAATGTAGTCCCTTGATTTATAAACCCCCCCCCCCCTCAACAACCAAGGCCTCCAAAATAATGTATATGAAAATCAATCAGTTGATAATTAAATAAGGAATCCTTAGCTAGCTACCTCTGGAGCTACTCTCGCAATATTAAATTAAAAGGAAATAAGAATTCCTAACTTTGAAGACCTCTGGCAATATTAAATTAAAAGGAAATAAGAATTCCTAAGTTTGAAGACCTCTGGCAATATTAAATTAAAAGGACATCTCAAATTTCTTAATAGAAATCTCCATCCAAAAGCCTCCAAAAGCATCAAATCTCAAT